GAATTTCTACCCCGCCCTCCCAGCTAAGACTGGCTCAGAATGAAAGTCTGTTGAGGAAGGAAACAAAAGTGAAAAGGAGGTGTGACTGACAGTAAATGATTAATGCTGTAACCCAGTCTGAGAACCTTGAGTGACAGGGAATTCAAATGGCATTCTTCAGTTGAGAGTTTTGGTTAGGAGTTGGGAGTTGACAGTTAACAGTGAGAGAGCGAAGTAGACCGTGAGAGGATCTAGAAGGACCCTGAATTAGGGAAGTGGGATGTGTAGCTATTCCCTGACAAGACTGAGAGAAATAGTCAACAGACAGAGGTGATCCCTAGCCAGTGGATAAAGAAGGAAACTTGAGCTTGTGTGAATGCTCCTACCTTCACCAACTTTAGTGTCTGTGAGACCAAGAAGCTTATGCTTGTTTCTGAAAGCAGAGACTGCCAAGAAATCATTCTCCTCAAGTTTTAAAGACCTGTCTGAATAACAGAAGAGGTTTGTGACAAATTATCTGGGGTTTATTTTATACAAAGTTACCTCATTCCTGTTTCCTGTTCACCTCATAAATCCTAAACCTGATTCCTGCTTGATGATTTCTCTTCAAAGTTTTGATTTACCATCAGCCTCTCATGTGTCATTACCAAACAAGGACAAAAGAAGGATTTTAGTCTCTCCCGTTAGTTCCCTAGGTTGGGTCAGCATTTCCCAATATACATTCAAACGACCAGGTGGGACAGCCAGAGAAAAAAACAAAGAAGGAAGAAAATACAGCTGCTCAGCTATGAACAAGATAAAGGAAATCCTGTGAGGGAGGGCAAAATCTTCATAAGAGGTAATAAAATTTAGGAAATGAGGACAGTGAATGTAGCCTTTAGTAGAGGCACATTTTTTCAGGTTTCACCATGGGTATCAGGGCTGCGGTGGCTCAAGTGGTTAAGACACTGAACTGCAGACTGGAAGGTCAGTAGTTCAGCACTTTGAGACCTGAGTGCCGCATGATGGAGTGAGCTCCCGCCTCTGGTCCCAGCTCCTGCCAATCTAGCAGTTTGAAAGCAAGAAATTGCAAGTAGTTAAATAGGTACCGCTTTGGTGGGAAGGTAACAGCATTCCGTGTGCCTCGATGTCTAGTCATGCCGGCCACATGGCCACAGAAATGTCTTTGGACAGTGCTGGCTCTTCGGCTTGGAAACGGAGATGAGCTCCGCATCCCTAGAGTTGGATTCAACTGGTTCGAGCAAGGGAAACCTATCAGGCTTAAACCCACTAAATCTTGCTGGATTCCATTACTACTTCACTTCTGTCCTAAAATTTACAACACAGTCCACTGTCAACATCCCAAGATTACTACTTCAGGGTTAATAATTCCAGATTGCTAGCTGTGTTAGTCTATTGCAAAATGAAACTGCCATGGCACATTAATGATAATCAGAATTTAGTCCATCACAAGCTTTCATGATTTAGAGCTTATTTGAACTGAGCTCTGAGTGACAAACTTTATTTCAAGGATATTATCTGTTCTGTAGCTAAAACAGGCAGGGAATCCCAGGACGTTTCTGCCATATCGTCTTGTTAATTATCTTGAGTCATTCCCAATCCACCAGTTCACACACTGATAGCAGCATCAAATCATGGTAATTTACACTTGTAGATGATCTATCATAGATCAATCACAACAGATAGAACTTTCAAATTGGCAAAACATACTTCTTGCCGTGTGAGATGGTTTGCACATTTGGCTGAGATACAGCAACGGTTAGACTTAAACTGCATTTCTATGCATAAATAATGAGAATGAGCCCTATTAAACACTGTGACAGCTACTTCTGAGTAAACATGCATGTTTTAGAATATTTCTTAACCACCTCTCCAGAAATCTGTTTGAGTTTGCTTACAACCATTTTTTTTAAAAAAAATTGAATCCACAGCAGTTAAACAACATAAAACCAAGTAAAATAAAATATTAAATAATCTTAACAACAGCTTAAAGTACTATATAAGGAGAATAGAAATTAGTATATCAATAGCAAAATAATAGTTCACAAAAAATAGGGGCAATATAGGCTTCACAGCGCTGAGAAAACAGGTCAAGAAAGAGCAATCAAAGACCTACACAAATAAAATTATTTTTACCTGATGCCTAAAGAATATTAACCTAGGCACCAAATGAACTTCTGAGTGGAGAATGTTCCATGAGTGAGGTACCATCACTGAAAAAAGCCAATCCTTGGCTTCCCCCACCCCTCTTCTATAGCAAAGGTTGACATTATCTTAATGGTACAGGAGAATGGTACAGGAGAAAGCTTCCAGTATCCTCCTTGTAAGCCAATTAAGGACTTAAAGGTAAGAACCGGCACTTTGGATTGTGCCTGAAAACAAACTGGAAGCCATATGATCAGATGGTAAGAGATGTACAGGGAAGTATGGATTTGCCTTTTATTTCTCTACAGAATGGTGATCTCTACACAGAAGAGATTACAACCATACCGTTCTTTACATATTCATTTCCCATGGGATCAACACTAGGGGTGCACACTTAAAAAACCTCTGTTTTGGTTTTGGATTTCAATACAGTATGGATTGTTATTCTGAATAATTGTAAACAAGTTCCTTACTGTCAAACTCTGCTCTTCTTAGTTTGCCATGGTGGTGGTGGTGGGGAGAAATTCCTAAGGGCGGGGGGAGCAAATGCTGTGTGTGTGAACCATGCTATCATAGAAGCTGTAACTTTTCCTGAAGAAGCCTTCCTCCCAGAGGAACGCCCCTGAAGCCTTTGACGCCAGCTTGCTAGAACAGATAGTGGGATCGTATATTTCTGGGGTGGGGGGGTAGACAATGCAACGGCTAGGTAGGATGGATGTGAAGTGTGATTAGTCATTCCCAGGGGTTTCATTTGAATTACCTATATCTGTACCTGTACCCACCAAAATCCTGAGTTCTGACACAGTACTGTTCTGGTCTGGATCATGTCTATATCTCAATAAACAGATCACTGCCAAAGAGAGTGTTGTTTAGAGTAAGTTGTCCAGGAGCCTGACACACATAGTTGAAACCTCATGGTTCACCCAGAAGGCATTCATTAATTCTGAATCTGTGTACCCAGATACTGTACCTGGCAGGAACTCAAGTAGCTTATAATCAAAGTTTAAAAGATAGTTAGTACATGAAAAAATAAAAAGCCACTGCATCCAAAAGTAAACCCAACCCACAGAACATACAAAAGAAAAGGTCAGATAAAAGTTACACAAAACAATGACTAGACATGCTTCAACCACTCACTGTTTTGGTTCATCCCATGCACATCAATTCTAAGCTTGGAGGTAATAATTTGGTTAGCTGTTTGAATATGTCTATAGGAATTTGGATGTGTCCATTTGTACAATTATGCTGCTTTTTTGTGTGTGCAGTGTTGTTTCCCCACAGTGGGTACCCCCACACACACTCATCCACCACCTCCAATGTTTAAAGGGGGGGGGGAAATTGCAGTTTTTGAACTGAGACTTGCTGCCAATGTCTTTGTGTGATAACCAGGTCCAGCTAATCTTATGCTCATTTCTCAAATAGATGTTGCTTCTAGGGGTGTGCATTTGGGTCTACCTGAACTAAAAATATACCCCAAAAAACCCTTATCAGTATTTTGGGTATATTTTGGCATCCCAAATGTATCTGGGATTTTTTTGGGAGACCCCCCCCCCCCCAAAAAATCTGAAATATATTCATAGAATCATAGAATGTTAGAGTTGGAAGGGACCTCTCAGCTGTTTTTGAATTTTCTTCCACAGTCCCTTTAAACAGGTAGTATTTAAAGGGACTGCAGAAGATAGCCCACAAAACAGCCGGGGGGCACTCTCCCTGCCAGCTCAGCTGGGGCCCTTTTGGGCTGTTTGACCGAATTGCCAAAGAGAACACCAGCACAGCCTGTGGGGGGAGAACTCTCCCTGCAGAATCAGCTGCTTGGCAGGCTCTGTTGGGCAGTCCAGTTTAAAGGAACCACCCAAAAGAGCCCCAGCTGAGCTGCCTCCCAGCGGTTTTTTGTGGTTTTGCCACTGCTTTTTTCTCTCTGTATTTTTTGGTTTGGGCCTATTGGACCCCCAGAATTTGGGATTTCTGAAAAATCCCGGATCCAGATACATTACCGGTATTGGGATTTGCTTTTTTTCAGGAATCCTGATGGTGTGTGTGTGTGTCCAATAGACGTGAACCAAAAAATACAGAGAGAAAAAATTGCACACCCCTAGTTGCTGCTGCACAGGAATAAAAAATAGACAATGTGATTAGCCAATGAAGGTAATTGAAAGTGCTGGTTCTCAACCTTTTGTATTATACTGCAGATTAATTACTCTGTCAAATAACCTGGGATCCAACTATGATAGATACAAGAAGCCCCACTTTTTCTGAGTTCATTTATATGTTTACAGGGAATACTTTTGGTATGAGGTGATATGATCAAAAGTTAAGTTTGCCTTGTGATTGTGTTTGTGTCGAAGTTCATTGCATGTCTAACAAAGATAGCAGCAAGTTCAAAACAGGAAGGTCACATGCAGAAGGGTCTGATGATGACCAGAATGCTCAGGTAGGATTGTGTTGCTTGAGGGATTTCACGATCAGGGACAGACTGGAAAGTTCAAGTAGTCCAATAGCTAAGTGGTCAGTGTGGAACTACTAAATGGCACTGGGACTCAGCTCTGTTTGCTCCAGACCAGTGGCCTTTCCCCAGTGAATTAAAGGATTACTTTACTCCTGTTTATCATCTCATTTTTTATACCTAAATAATCCTGTGAGCGAAACTTGACAGACAATAATTTCCCTTAAGCTACCTGCTGAGCTGGCTGAGTAGGAATTTGAATCTATTTTCCAACATCTATACACTCTAAAAACCGCCAGTGCTGCCTTGCCTAATATATGGTGGCATGGCATCAGTTTGCTTCAGGAAACTGATACCAAACAGCAAACAGTTAACAAAAGGTTAGAGTTGCTTGAAACAACCTTAAAATGTATATAAGAAAAAAAACCCTCACCTCTTAGCCTATAATAAGCTTGGTGGCTTGCTAAAATTTGCTTCACTGATTCTTGAGGGCAAACCTTCACACCAGTTGATAAAAAAGAAGATCTCTTTGTTCGGTGTTTAGCCATATCAAATATCCTTCGAATGGTCGAAACTCTAGATCTCTTTGTTGTCCTTTCTGACTTCTCTGACCCTGAAGCATCTGCAAGTTGTTTGGTTTCACGACGATTAATTTTATTAGGGATTTCTGAAAGAGAAACAAAAATATCAATAGAATGCAATACAGAGAGAGCGAGAATGTTGTATCTTCTGTGTGATAATTCAATTGACTTCAAAATGTCAATGACATGGCAACATGTCAACACACTATCGTGCTTGTTCATCAAAAGTTTGCAAGTGTCTATTCCCATTCTGATTTTTGTAGCTTCATTTATATCTCTTTCTGCCAACTGAATGTAACACTTTATGCACCTGATAAAATGGTTCTGGCTTATGAAAGTTTAATTGTCCTTGTTGCCAAGAGACTATTTGTTGTTGTAAGCTTTGGATTTCCATGGGGGGGCAGTGTTTTCATTTTCTTGAGTATAATGACATAACTTTATTTTGGATTCTATTTGTTGCTGCTTACCAAAATTAAAAAGGTGATTTGAAATGAGCTTTTAAGACAATTCTGAAACACTTTTGTAGGTTTTTTCACAAGCACTCTGGAGAGGGAAAAAAGGTAAACAGAATAAAAAGGTTTGTTTAAAGAACTCCTTTGAAAAAGAAAAGGCACATTTTGTAGATAATTGGAAAAATTTCTGAGGCAGAAAATATTTTTCCAGGAGGCCAAAGTAATATGCATAGCTTGGATACTGATGAATTGGTTGCAGACAGCAACTGCATTTGGAAAGGTTCAGATTTACCAAGGGGAAGAGGAAAGGAATCAAATGTTTTTCCAGAGACAAAGCTTACAAGAAAATAAGAATGTTAGGAAAATTAACAGCTAAATATTTAATGGAGCATGACAAGTTTCAAATACATTAAAAATGATTTCAGCCTGATACTTCCCCCCATATGAAATGAGCAAAGCAATAAATATTAATTATTATGTCAGTGGTTGTTATGCAGATAAAAAGAAAAAAGTAAGAGGTAAAAATGCTTCATCTCAGCAATTTGGAACTGAATGAAGCAAACCTAAATGCTGCAAAAGAAGGGAAGGAGACAGCACTTCCACTGAAATACCACAGGACTTGTAGTATTCTTTCTGCTATTGCTCACAGTACCACGCTAAGCAGAATCACACCCTTCTAAGCCTATTGACTTCAATGGATTTAGAAGCATGTACTTCTACATAGGATTGCAGTGTTAGTGTTATGTATTCAACTACATATGGCAGAGCTTGAGTCAAAAGCTCTATCTTGCCCCAGTATCCAGATGTATACAATCTGACTGGGCACTCTGAACAGCTTACCAATCAGAGCATCAGAAAAGGTTCTGGAGGGAAACCTGTTTATTGGTCGTTATCTATGCTTAAGGATTGGTTGTTATCTGACAGATGGGCGTGGTTACCCAAGCCCGGACAGTTTACAAGTGAGCCTGTTGCTCCCCTGTTTGTGTTCGTTCTTCACCTATCTAATAAAGCTGAATCACTGTTTTGGAAAAAGCTGCGTTGAGTCTCATACTTAACAGTCAGTTTTACACATATTGTAAGAGCAACTACTCTTATATGAAGAGAACAAAGCTCCTGATTCTGTTCAGTACTGTTGTTGTTGGAAAAATTGGCAAAAATACTTAGATATTCAGAGTTTGCAATGGATCTTTGCTTCACTGGAGAGGAGGCATTTCTTTCTGTGTAAAAATCTTTATTTCTAAGGGCAGGGTACACAGGAAAATCTACAAGATAACAAAGACCTAAGGCTCCATCTCTACAGCTACAGAACAGACCAACCACACGGTCTCACAACAACAGCTGTTAAGGAGGTTCTTCTTCTTCTTGACCCCTAGAAGGAAATCACCTGAATACATTAACCAATGATTGTGAGTAAATAGACTTAGATTTCCCGGGCTTTCTTCCCATTGGCTCTGTGCCAGGTTTCCCTTCCAGGTCAGTCTAAACAATAGCACACAAGGTAAACAAATTAATCCCATAATGGCTGAATTAGACCATGCAACACACACATATTTCATACAGTTGTATATTTACAAATGGAATTTCCCTCCTAAAGCCACCAAGGCAGAGTTAGACAATCAATGGGCAGTACTTGAGGAATATCTTCTTGATCTGCAAAATAATCACCCACAAGCCATAATGATTGTTGGGGGAGACTTCAATTCCAGGATTGGTCCAAACAATATTGAGCTTCTCCATTCCAAGTTTTGGAAGAAAGACTTTTTATATTATAACAGTACAGAAGGAGAGCGCCATTACAAAGACAAAGGTATAAACATTTCTGGAGCCAAGCTTGCTAATATGACTTCTAAATTGTCACTGGCAATAATGAACGAGAATAATACTATTGACCCTCATGGTGATTTTACTTTCACCTCCTCTCAAGGTGCCAGTGTCATCGATTATTTACTAAAAGATGATTCCAGCTTCTTTAAAGCATCAGAATTAGAAGTCAGTGACTTTGGAACTAGTGATCACTTTTCCATTTCTATTAAAGTATGCCTCCTTAACAATGGAGGCCCAGGTAGCAGCCGCTGCCAAGGCAGCCTTTTACCACCTTCGGCTGATTAGGCAGTTGGTTCCCTTCCTCGAATGCAAGGATCTGGCTGCAGTGATCCATGCTATGGTCACCTCGAGGTTGGACTACTGCAATGCTCTCTACATGGGGCTGCCTTTGGGGCAACTCCGGAAGCTGCAGCTGGTGCAGAATGCGGCAGCCAGGCTGCTGATGGGCCTCCCCAGGTGGGAGCACATCCAGCCCATGCTTAAGACTCTGCACTGGCTGCCAATAGCTTTCCAGATTTGCATCAAGGTGCTGGTTTTGACCTTTAAAGCCCTTTATGGTCAGGGACCAGCCTACCTGAGGGACCTCCTTTCCCTGTATGTTCCCCAGAGAGCACTGAGATCAGGATCCCAAAACCGCCTGGACCTTCCTGGCCCTAAGGAAGTCAGGTTGATGGTAACCAGGATGAGGGCTTTTTCATTTGCAGCTCCGTCCTACTGGAACGAGCTACCTGCCGAGATTAGAGCCCTGCGGGACTTGTCACGGTTCCGCAGGGCTGTGAAAACAGAACTTTTCAGGCAGGCATTCCGATAGGAGAGATGGCGTACCAGCAGCGCCCTGTGTGAACTTTGATCCAATACAACCTAACGTGGGGGCACCGTGGAATGTGTCTTTAAACTGCACTTTAGTTTTATCGCCATCTAATGAATGTTTTATATGGATTGTTTGTGTTTTTAAGTGATGCTTGTATTTATGTTTTATTGTGTTTGAATACTGCTTGTCAGTTTTGGAAGCCACCCTGAGCCCGCTTGCGGGGAGGGCAGGGTAAAAGTGGAATGAATAAATAAATAAATAATAAATAAAATATCAATTGAGACTAAACTCAATCAGACCATCGATCAATGGGACTTAAAGACATTGCCAAGCAAGAGAAGATGGTCTAAGGGATCAATTGAAATGGCCACTCAGATTTTATGTACTAAGAAGGCTCACACACTAGTTGAGAAGATCCAGAAAGAGCAAAATTGCCACACTGCTCTTGATTATATGATATCGCTCATCCAGCTATTTGACCCCATTCTCCTAAATAAAAGAAATACAGCCAGAAAGCCAGAGAGCTGGTTTGATGGAGACTGTAGGAAGACTAAAAACCAACTGAAACTAAAATATAATAAATTTAGAAAGAATAATACAAATGAAAACTGCAGACTCCTGATACAAACTAGAAGAAAATAGAAAGCACTGCTGAAGAAGAAAAAATGTCAATCAATTAGGTCGGTCTGGAGTAAAGTGATTACAGCTGCAAAGGAGAAATCTAGCCTGTTGCTTTGGCATATAATCACTCCAATCTTGAAGCCAAAAATCAGCAGTATAATCCCCATACCCACGACAATCTGGGAAAAACACTTCAGAAATCTCTATTGTAAGCACAACTCAGAACAGGAATTGAACTTTGAAATCAATCTGGAACAGCTTCCACCAGGGCAACCTGTCACTTATGCTGAAGTAACCAAACTAATTAAAAAAATTAAATTGAAGAAGTCTCCAGGTGTAGGTGCCTTCCCGGCGGAATTGTTAAAGATGACTCCTAGATGGTGTAAAAATGCTCAGGTGATTGCACCTATATTTACCCTAATAAACAAAGAGGGAATCATTCCAGCAGTATGGAAAATGTCATTGATTGTCCCAATATACAAAAAAGATGAGAAAACCAATCAAAATAATTATAGACCTATCAGCCTGTTGGCTGTGATTGGCAAACGTTATGCAGCCTATCTTAAGGGAAAACTACAATGTTGGATGGAAGAAAAGGGAATACTTGGTGATGAGCAAGCTGGCTTCGGGAAAGGCCATTCTTGCCTGGATCAATGCTTTATATTGGCATCTCTGATCAGTAAATATACAAGGGATACATCTGGTTCCTTATATACTGCTTTTGTAGATTTAAAAGCGGCCTTTGATTTGGTGTCTCACATGCAGTTATGGATTAAACTGAACACCACAAGCACCCCCAAAAGATTGTTAAAATTTATAATGAATCTCTACTTGGGAAATGTGGTCCATGTCAAGTTAAACAGCAAAGGACTTATACCCAACCCGATAGCAATCCAAAAACAGGTATGACAAGGGTGTGTCCTTGCCCCACATCTATTTAATCTATACTTGAATGACTTTGTTCCTAGACTGCAAACTATTACTATTCATGCACCTTATATCGGATCTCACCCGGTATCAGCCTTGTTATATGCTGATGACTTAGTCCTGATTTTGAGGACATACATTGATCTGAAACATACAATAAAGGTGTTTATCACCTATTGTGACAGTGAACTACTGGAAATCAATGAAGATAAATCCAAAATAATGGTCTTTACCAAATCACCCAAAAGATTAAGTAAGGAATGGAAAATAGGAGCTTATAAATTCCAACAGGTTGATGAATTCAAGTATTCGGGCATCATATTTCAATCAAACCTGTCATGGACTAAGCATGTCCACCATCTTAAAGGGCAAATTGAACTAGCATAATTGGCACTAAAACGTTATTTTCTGCTCAAGGAGCACAATACATCCTGTTTTTAAAT